TAACCTGGCCTGGTTCTTTTATTAGTTCTCTCTTTTCATTTGTTTTTCCCCCTTTTTATTTATTTGTTTTATGTATTTCTTTGCAAAAATTAAAACTAACAAAACCTACATTAACTTCCAAATTTTGACTAATTAATTTTCTAAAAAATAAACTAAATCCTAATTTAAAAGGAAACTAAACCAAAATGTAAAATGTGAAATTTTAAAATTGTGAAAGAACTATTTTTTGTTATTTTTCTCTTATTTTAGTAATATCAATTAACTAGTAAAACTAAAATATCAAAATCGAATTCTAAATGCAAATGCACTATTTTGTACTTTTTATGAATTATGGCAACTAAAAATGCACACAAAAATGCAAACAAGGCACAAAATCATGCAATTAATTCCTAAAAATTCAAATAATAAAGAAAAATTCTAATTCTAAGGAATTTTATAGGAGTAATTTAAGTGTGGCAAAAATCACGTGCTCACAAACATATTTTAATAACATAACATTCACGAAATTACATATAAAATAATAAAAGAAATTTATGAACATTTTTATTAACAAGAAAAATTATTTCTCACCTTTTAACGATTTTTTTTAAACAATAATAATTTAATCCGGATAAAAATAACATACAAATTTAATCGCAAACAAAAACACAAAACAACGTGGAAACACATTCAAGACAATAAATATGCATTATTATACGAGTTTCGACATAAACTAAATCGGAATACCTCGATTTATGTTTTTAGAAAAGTCGGAATTTTGGAAGTTTGAGCCCGAAACGAGGAAACCACAACAATCGAAGGCTTGGGTTGAATGCGAGACCTACAATCTTCACTTTTTGTGTGACGGGTGGGGTCCAATCGATTTTTTTTTTAAATCGCGGGTGGGGGACCAGTGTTTGTTTTTTAAATAGAAACTAGAAGGTTTCTGTCGTAGGGAAGAAGGAGACTTATATTTTAATAGGCAAAACGCAGTATAATACTGCGCTTTCCTAAAACGCAGTACTTTAACGGCTAAATTTTCGTTAAAGTAAAACGCAGTACAGGCAGGAGTAGGACATTCCATACAAATCTTTCTGATCTGCTAGTTGGTGGTCCTCTCCTTAGAGTCAAGTGGCTTTCAGCTCCTCTCAAATCTAATTTTTTCATCGACAATAATATTGTATTTTAGTTAGAAAGGTAACTTTTTTCTTTAACTATAAACATATTTTGAGTCCCAAAAGTCATTATTTTGGTTTCGAACTCGTTCTATCCTATGCATGTTGTACTAAACATTGGTCAAAACCATGGTAGCCCAAGTTGAAAATTCAACAATTGCTTTATTAGGAAAACCATTACTTAATAAAACCAAGACTGCCTCTGTTTTTCTTTCAAATTGGTTTTTACCTTCAATAGCAAATGTATACACCCTATTTATTATAAATCAAAATTATTTTAAAATATTATTTTCTATAGCTCCTTTTATTTTTATAGCAAAATAAGTATTTATGGTATATACTACCATTGAGGCATGAAATACGCTATTTATGTTTTTCCTCTCTCTTAGACAGCTGGACATACCTATTTTTAAGGTGAATGTCGTTATTGTATTCATGAATACATGGCGCGAATACATGTGATACATGCGCGTACAACTGGACTGCCATGATTTTAAGCGCTTTTTACTGTTGTATTTATGAATACAGCAACGCAAATACATGCGCGTATAACTGGACTGCCCTGATTTTAGGCATTTTTTGTTGCTGTATTCATGAATACATGGCGCGAATACATGTGAATACATGCGCGTGAATACATGCGCGTACAGCTGGACTGCCCTGATTTTAGGCACTTTTTATTGTTGTATTCATGAATACAGCAGCCTGAATACATGTGAATACATGCACGTACAGTTGGACTGTCCTGATTTTAGACACTTTTTGCTGCTTTATTCATGAATACATGGCGCAAATAGATGTGAATACATGCGCGTATAGCTAGACTATCCTAATTTTTAGGAGCGAATACACCACTATAACAACTGAATAGTAACTATAGAAAATAATTATGTATATGATATCTATAGGAAGTTAATAACCACTACATAATAGTGATTTTTGAAAATTCATCTTTTCTATTCTCATTATCAAACTAAGATGTACGTACAGAAATAAATTATTTAAATCTTTTTTTATGCCAAAGAGAGAATCATTTGAATAATCCATCAATTATTTTCCAAGAAACCTTATACTGTAGTGCTTTTCATCCATTCCAGTGTCCAGATAGCAGTTTTTTCTTTGCCCACTGTCTTCAAAACCATCACTCTGATGGTAAGCAACTACGTACTATACTACTCTAGTACAGTATATATGTTAACTTCCATGATACCCTTCATCACAATTCACAACAATCTTCAAACCCATAACCTTAAATCAATTTCGCTGCTAAAATCACCAAAAACGAAAAATCCTTTTTTTTTAAAAAAAATTCTGAAAAAGAATTCAGAAATGGAGAGTAACAATTCAGTTCCAGAGAGCTCACCGTGTGGGATTGGAACACTGGGTCGGCACTTGGCTCGGCGGCTAGTAGAAATCGGCGTGAAGGACGTGTTTTCAGTTCCCGGTGACTTCAACTTGACGTTGTTGGATCATCTCATAGCCGAGCCGGAGCTGAATTTGATCGGCTGCTGTAACGAGCTTAATGCTGGGTACGCTGCGGACGGGTACGCACGTGCGAAAGGGGTGGGAGCGTGTGTGGTGACGTTCACTGTAGGGGGATTGAGTGTGCTTAATGCTATTGCTGGGGCCTACAGTGAGAATTTGCCTCTCATTTGTATTGTTGGTGGGCCTAATTCCAATGATTATGGGACCAACAGGATTTTGCATCATAGTATTGGAGTGCCAGATTTTAGTCAGGAACTTAGATGTTTTCAAACTGTTACTTGCACTCAGGTATTTTCTTTTATTCCCTGCATATATGTTCATTTTACTATTGTACCTTGTGTAGCAAAGTTTGCACACATCAGTCTGTACTGTAGAAGTTAGATTCAATCAAATAAATTTTACGTATATCCACTGATTGTGTGATGAGATCTATTTACGCTATCAGTCTAATTTAACCTCCTATAGAGGTTGCTTGGCTTAATTTTAAATTTTCAGGTTATTAGTTTCATTTTTATATGTAGTTATATGAAGAAAAATTTTTAAAGACGTTCAATGTATAGAGTTTGACTCTGATCACATGTAGTATGTGCTTAATAGCCCTAATCCTTGAGTAGAGACACTTGTTCGCAGTTCCACAACAACAACCCAGTAAAACTCCACAAGTGGGGTTTCGGGAGGATAGTGTGTACGTAGACCTTACCCCAACCCCGGGGGAGTAGAGAGGTTGTTCGCACTTCCATCTAAAAATTAATTGTTTAGGTTTCTACATTGGTTTAGGTAATTTTGCTTAACTATAGTAGTTGAACATATGTATTTGGAGATGTCCAATGCATTTGATTTATGTGACTAAGTTTTGAATTTTGCATTTGATGTTTGTTGAAAGTGATCAAGTTGGTATAATGTAACAGGCAGCGGTGAATAACTTGGATGATGCACATGAATTGATTGATACTGCAATTTCAACTGCTTTGAAGGAGAGCAAGCCAGCTTACATTAGCATAAGCTGCAATTTGCCTGGAGTTCCTCACCCTACCTTTGCTAGAGAACCTGTTCCATTATTTCTTGCTCCAAAGTATATGTTCTCTCCTGTTCCCTTTTAGCGAAACAATCGATGGTCTATTAGGCTGTTTTGTTAAGATGAAATGCATTTGCAGGGCCAGCAATCAACTCGGGTTAGAAGCAGCAGCTGAGTTCTTGAACAAGTCTGTAAAACCAGTTATTGTCGGAGGTCAAAAAGTAAGAGTGGCAAAGGCACAACAGGCATTTGTGGAACTTGCTAATGCCTGTGGCTATCCAATAGCAGTAATGCCATCTGGCAAAGGACTGGTGCCAGAGCACCACCCTAATTTCATTGGTACTTACTGGGGAGCAGTGAGCTCTAGTTTCTGTGGGGAGATTGTTGAATCTGCGGATGCTTATGTCTTTGTTGGCCCCATCTTCAATGACTACAGCTCTGTTGGATACTCGTTGCTGATTAAAAAGGAGAAGTTGATCGTTGTTGAACCTAATCGTGTGACAATTGGAAATGGCCCCTCCTTCGGTTGGGTTTTCATGACTGATTTCTCAAGTGCATTGGCGAAAAAGCTTAAGAAGAATAGCACGGCTTTGGAGAATCATCATCGAATTTATGTCCCTCCAGGTGTTGCCTTAAAACGCGAGAAGGATGAACCTCTTCGAGTCAATATACTATTCAAGCACATTCAGGTAAATATGAACTGTGATTAACAAAGAGCACCTTAGAACTGAACTGGAAATTCCATCATCAGTCGATGTATAAGAGATTACACGATACCAAATACAAATGGATTCTCATGTTTCCCAGAAGTTCTGATTTTTTTCACTTCCTACTGTTTTTCCATTCACAGGAAATGTTGAGTGGCAACACTGCAGTGATTGCGGAGACAGGGGACTCATGGTTCAATTGTCAGAAGTTACATCTTCCTGAAAAATGCGGGTAAGCTAGGCTCTAACTTTATGTTGGGGGGGGGGGGGGAGAGAAGAATTAAAAAGTATTCATGGAAGAACAACGAACAGTTGACATCAATATCAATCTCAAAACAGTTGATGAAATTTGATTGTAGCTGTATTAAGATAAGTTATATTCAAATACTTGCAGGTTTGAATTCCAGATGCAGTATGGATCCATTGGATGGTCAGTAGGTGCCACTCTCGGTTATGCTCAGGCTGCTAAGGACAAACGTATCATTGCCTGCATTGGTGATGGAAGCTTCCAGGTCAGTGTTCATATTAATTGTGAACTTGTGATCGAATTCTCGACTGCTGTCATTTTCCTTCTACTCAAGACGCATAGCATGCTTTAACATAGAGAGAAATACTTGCAATTGTTACTTCAGCTTCTACCACAGAATTTCTTTTAAAGGAGAGAATGTTAGTTTATGTTTTTCTTATATGATCACGATTTGACTCTTATTGTTTTCATGATGTGAATTATAGAAACATAATTGATAACGCTCCAACTATTTTCTGCTGTATAGGTTACTGCTCAAGATATATCAACAATGATAAGATGTGCACAAAAGAGCATTATATTTCTCATCAACAACGGCGGTTATACCATTGAAGTAGAGATTCATGATGGCCCATATAACGTGATCAAGAATTGGGACTAGACTGGTCTTGTGAATGCTATCCACAATGGTGAAGGCAAATGTTGGACTGCAAAGGTCAGTATTTCTGAACACATTGTAACATCTTCTACAATTGCAATTCGAACAGTTCTCGGTGTGACATGCACCTCAGTAATTGATGGGATAAGTGATTGCAGGTAAAGACGGAAGAGGACCTGACCGAGGCAATAGCAACAGCAGCAAGCACACATAAGGATTCCTTGTGTTTCATAGAAGTCTTTGTGCACAAGGATGATACCAGCAAAGAGCTTCTGGAATGGGGATCACGTGTTTCTGCAGCTAATTGCCGTCCTCCTAATCCTCAGTAGCAAGTTATCGCTGTCCCCAAAATAATATACCAGATGAAGAACATGGATTTCGGTGAGCAGCTGCCCCAGGAAAAGGCTGAAGAGTTTGAATGTTTTTCCCCAGATAGTTATGTCCTGCTTTTGTATTCTAACCCAGAATTGTCATCGTCCATTAAATGTGCCACAAATGTCGTATCCTGTTTGTACAAAATAAGAAAAACCATCTTCTGTAACTTGTCAACGCTATGAAATTTCTAGGATCTGCCCTTATATAATCATAATCTTATCTTGAGGTAGAATGTTATACCAATACCTTAATATAAAAGGAAAAAAGAAAGAGCTCTTAACATCGGAGATTTACTAGCCAACCAATAATAATGCAGGAGAAAATTTGTTTTCGAGCCTCACCCACCAAACTCGCTTATTTTGTTTACTAGGCGGGCCCAATATTTGCTGGTGTTATGAGAATGTAATTGATGTTATGGGAATATAATTGAATACAAACAGCAAAATAACACATATATTTCATCTTGTTTAAGAGTTGAATAGATTCAACTTCCGCATGATTAAGAGTTGAATAACTATGCATATTATCTACATGCACTTGGAACAAAAAGTTGTACATTTATAGTTGTATGGAACATACATATTTTATTTACATATCAAAAGAAGCTTATACACACAAAATGTGATGCATTAATGCAACCAACATGCTGCCGGCAAGCACTATTTTTGTTATGTTTGACAAAAAGTCTCTACCTGTAAAAATTACTTGTTAGCATCTGGTTCTTTTAAAATAGGAAAAACGTGTATATTAAAATAGTAGAGAAAGAGTAGTAGCAACAGAGTTGGACTAATTGGTTGTAATTGACATACCCTTGTAGCGCATTGTCTGTCGTATACATCCTTATTTTTCCTCCAGCATGGCTTTCAGAAAAGTCAGCAGTTCCAAATTTAGCATGCTTCAAAAAAGTTCCTGCCTAGAAAAGAATTGTATGAATACACAAATACTCCTCATAGCTGCATATGAATAGGAATTAGCTGCTAGAGTGGTCCGAAAATAATAGTAGGAAAAAATAGAATATTTGGTGAAGACCGAATGCTTCAAAACACTACCATATACGTATAAAAAGGTTGTGAGAACACACCCAATTTATTTACATGCCAGGTCAGATAAACTTTTGAAAGATAACAACTTTCATTTTCAAATTACGTACTACTGCTAGATTGTAGGTCTTCTCTTTCTTGAAACTCTGGAGTCCTTTAGCAATCTTATGACAATAGATGAGCTATATATATGCACTCAATTAACTTTTGATCCACCCAAAGGTCAGACATGAGACGCAACAAATATTCACTAAGATTGCAAGAGATAAAAACTATGTTCAGTTCTTCTCGGAACTTTTCAAGCATAAGTCACATCCAAAGATCTAAGTGTTCTTCACTCACAATAGGACAATCCTAAATCGTCGCTCACTTAGTGAAAACAGTAGGGAAAATCCAAACAAATCAGGCAAACATACCATTTTCATTCCAGAAATGAAATATTCACCAGTTTATGCATATACAAATTCCTCATCAAGAAGAAACGTTGAGCTTAACAAAATATTGTGCTTGAGATATTTTAAAACCGAAAAGTATGACAGCAAAAGCATGAGACTTCATAAAAGGATTTAGATTTCATAGTTTCTATTAACTCAGCAACCTGAGAAACCTCATGCACAATCTAAGAATAGTGTAAAATAAGAGCAGATAATTTAGCAACTTGCTTCACTATCGGACTCCGCCTAATAAATCATCTCTATGTGATGACAGAAGATAGATCTATGTCTTTGTAAGCATTTAAATTTTATTGGACTTAAATCCATAAAATAAATTGGACCATATTATATTCAAGACATTAGTTCAAATAAATATTATGGCTAGTAAATTTGGCTAATTATATAAATCCTATATATATGTGTTGGGCTACTCCATTTAATTGGACTACAAATTAAAGATAAGCCCACTCCATTAGCCCAAGGTTCAAATGGCTATTAGCCCAATTTAAAGCCGAGGCTCATGCCACGTGTCAAGTGATGTGACAATTCAAGTCAAAAGAACGAGCGAATAAAATCATGCCACGTGTCAAATGATGTGGCAATCCAAACCAAATAAATCAGCCAATAAAATCATGCCATGTATCAAGTGAGAAAATGAGCCATAAGTCATAACATGTGTCAAGTGACATGGCAATCCAAGCCAAATAAGTGAGCCAATAAAATCAGGCCAAGTGTCTAGATGGTATTGGTCAGTTCAAACGGACCAATCAAATCGCAGAGCCACACCACTCCCTACAACTATAAATAGAGGTCTTCATAAAGCTAGAGACACCAGAAGTGATAACAAGAAGCAAGCAAGAGCTCGTGGATCAAACACCGCAGATTTCTCTACAAGCTACAAGTTCAAGCACTCAAGCTACACGTTCAAGTTCAAGTTCAAGATCAAGAACAAAGCCAAATCAAATACCAAGGCGTTCAAGATCAAATTACTTGTTCGTGATCATACCCAAATTCAAGTTCAAGGAGGAGATTCAAGATCAAGCTTAACAAGCCCTTGAATCAAATCAAAGTCAAGCTCATTAAGATACTTTACGTTCTTGAAGAATCAGAGGAATATCATAGGGATTGTAACACTTTCATTTATTGAAATCAAATACTACATTTGTTACGCAATTTTTCAGTCTTGATTATTTATTTTTCTCGACACGAAAATTTGTTGTTACAGTCTTCGTGGCAAGAGAAAACAATTATACTGAATGTTCATTCATTTGATCATACTACACATAAAAAAAGCAAGATAAGTATGGGTTGCGGGGTGCATACTGTTCATACTGGTCTCAATGTGGACCAGGAAGACTGGTATTTAGACAATCTTTTTATCACCTCGTGAATTAAAAAGAGTCACCTCATTTTGATGAATATGTGTGTTACCCACAAAGATAAAGAGAAAGTTTCATTTAAAATAGACCTGTGCAATTATTTCGATTGGTATTTTTCAGTTTCTTTTACATAATTTCCTTAAAGCAACATATCTTTGGTCTCTTCCATCTTCAATTCTTCCCTAATAAGAAAAAAATAAGTTAGATTCATTAGATAGCTAATATATAAATATATAAGTTCAGCAAAATTTTGAGTAAGAATGCTGATAAAATATTACAAATCAGTAAGTATAGTTGAAGAATCAACCATTAATCTTCCTTTTATTCTTAAACCTTGAACTTTCAAAACAACATAGGATATTACAAGATCACACTCCAATCTAACAACCACCTTGCAAACCATATAGATGATCCAAACTTCCGTGACAATTTGACTTACGCCATTGTATGTCGTACGAATGTGGATCATACAAAACTTGGAGAGAACATATTACCTATACATCGATCAGATAATGATGTGCAGTAATACTACCTTTTGTCTCCCAATTTTTTTATTGATTATAATTTGAAGCAATATTACTACCGACCACCTTCCAGAACTTTTTATCAGTCTAATCAAACAGTATAGATAGATTGACATTTTAGAATGGTTGAATACTTGGATCAGTTGGAGATATTTGTAAAAGCTATCTGAAGACACCATAATACATAACAACATTGTGTCTTTCTAGTTTGAATTAAGGAAGATCCCAGACGTTGTCGCTACCAAGAACTACCAAGAACCTCGAAACTGACAAATTAAAATGAGAATAGTTGTTCACATGCTTGCATGCAATTTTAAAGTTGTAGAATTATTTTATGTAACGCTGAACACAAATTCAGTCTCTCTTACCTCTCCTATATCCAATGTACCTATACATCTGTTTCGTACAATTAGACCATGCTATAGCAGTAAAGGCAGAAACTCCAACTCTTTACAATTGATTAGATAAATAAAAGTGAATTATATTGTTAAACAATAATAGTGGGCAAGTTATCTCAACGTTAAAAAATTATCTTTTTTATTTTTATTTTACAAAAGGTGATGTTTTATTGATCACTAACGCATCCATAACACCACTTTCACGGGAAAGATCTGATTTTAGCAAGAAATATAGAGAAGAAGTTGCTACAAGGAGTACGTGAGATGTGAAAAATAATCCGGACATAAGAGCATAGGTCTTATAGCAACCGTTAGTTGATAAACCTGCAATTAACAAATTTAATATCTTTTAAAGTAAGATGAAGAGGCATAACACATGCTAAAAGTGTTAATGTTTAACTATAGCAAAGGCAGAAATCTGATGGTAAAAGAGAGCATAAAAATTCTCACTCTTGCCACACCTAACCTTGTCCTTTTTGTTCTTCTACTAATGAACAAATAAAATTATTATCCAACAAATGCATGTAATAAATACATACCGATACAATTTGATTCCTTTCCATACTTACGGGGACAGATATTCAGCAAACTCTATTTTGATTAATAGGTTATGTTAAATACTAAATGTTAATCTTCATAAAACCTTCTATAAGTATTTCTAAACCTATATAATATTCTTTTAACATTTTTCCCCGATTCACAAGAATGAATAACTTTGCATTATTGAAGGCAATCATAATCTAACACTGCATAAGTAACCCAAAGTTAACTCTCATGACAGTTCAATCACCAAAACTAGCTAACGGGAGATGTATGCAAAAGAAGGGGTATGCTTAATTTGATCATATTGGAGTTTGAAAAGATAAGTTGAATATGCTAAATGCAAATTGCTAGACAGAGTGAATGCGGAATAAAAAAGAAGCAAGTCGATGCATTCATATAGAGAAGTTATTAGGAGGACTCGAAAAAGAAAAAGAAAATAAAGTATCGTATCTAGACGAATATATGAGAATTAAAAGTTAACGCTAAAAAACGCATACCATTTTCGAGTTTTGCCAATAGATCGGTGAATAGCCGTCAACAATTTTATGTGCTTGCCATAGAATCTGCTCTACCAGAATCAGAAGCATACATAGTACAATCAAAACATGAAAAAATAAAAAGAACAAAAAAAAACTAATTAGTGTAGAAATATAAAACAGAGAGAAATTAACTGAATACTCACATCTAGAAGGCGATGGAATCAAAAAAGCTGCTGAAGATTTTTAATTTCGAGCCATAAAAAGCAAAATAGAAAAGGAGTTCTCTATATGTTGGGTACTCAATTCTAGGCTAAGAGACACGTGTATTAAATCAATATAATTTTTCTTTTTACATTTGCTCCCAATTAACAGGAATACACAACTTTGTATTGTTGAAGACAATCCTAATCTAATACTAGACAAGTAAC